TCTGTGAGTGACAGGGGGCAGTGCCCACCCCCTGATCCGCCCTGCTCTGTGGTGTGACAGGGGGGAGCTCCTCAACCCCCTGATCGGCCCTGCTCTGTGCATGACAGGGGGAAGCTCCTCAACCCCCTGATGGGCCCTGCTCTGTGCGTGACAGGGGGGAGCTCCCCAACCCCCTGATCGACCCTGCTCTGTGTGTGACAGGGTACGGAGCCCCAACCCCCCTGATGGGCCCTGCTCTGTGAGTGACAGGGGCAGCGCCCCAACCCCCTGATTGGCCCTACCCTGAGCATGAATGAGGATGGCATTGCAACCTCCCAATCTGCCCTGCTCTGAGCCTGACCAGGGGCTGCACCTAGGGATTGGGCGTGCCCTCTGCCACCCGGGAGCAGGCCTAAGCCAGCAGGTTGTTATCTCCTGAGGGGTCCCAGACTGTGAGAGGGCACAGGCCGGGCTCGAGTGCACACATTTTTGTGCACCGGGCCTCTAGTTGTTTTATAATTGAGAAAACAGAGGTTCAAATTTATACTTGGTCTGAGAACTTGGTCTCTTTTCTGGTAAGTTGAATGTATCTTACCTTAAAAATCATTCACCTAATAATCATTTCCAAAGAAATACCTTCCTTTACTGAAACATATGTTTTTATTCTGATTTGGCTAATATATGAAAATTTTAAAATATCAAATTGCAGCCAAAACCGGTTTGGCTCAGTGGATAGAGCGTTGGCCTGCAGACTGAAAGGGCCCAGGTTCGATTCCGGTCAAAGGCATGTACCTGGGTTGCGGGCACATCCCCTTAGGAGATGTGCAGGAGGCAGCTGATCGATGTTTCTCTCTCATCGATGTTTCTAACTCTCTATCTCTGTCCCTTCCTCTCTGTAAAAAATCAATAAAATATATTTTAAAAAAATATATCAAATTGCAGATGGAAGTATTGACTTTAATCTCTAGAATGTATACTTACGCAGGACAATAGTGGCAAACGTAGAAGTATTTTAGATTCTCTTGATTGGGACAATAAGCAACTCCACATCCAAGACGGTAAGATGAGTACCAAACAAGCTACAAATCCATAAGGGGATATATAAAGAATAACGTAAGAAAGGGAAAATATTAAAGGACAAATGCCAAAGAAAAACTTGAAAAAATGTTACTACTATAGCTTGCAGCCATGTATTTTATGGAAATATTTACATTATTGAAACAAAGTTACACACTTTGAAAATATTAAATTTTTATGTGCATTCACCACTCTGTTCATTTGTAATGTTGGAAAAATACAGAGTGCACTTTCCAACCAAGAGTTATGCAAGCCATCAAAACAAAATAATAGCTGCGGGTGAAGTACCAGTCCAATGTTACTGTATTGTACCGATTTGGGCTCTTTTCCCCAAATTGAACCCTGGGATGGGTCATAATTTGAAGAAGCTTTCTATATTAGAGCATTCATGGTAGAAGTATTTTCACTGTTCCCTTTACCTGGGTATAATGTCCAACCACTGCACCGGGAGACTTTGGTCCTGCACCATAAACAAAATCGTGTCTCTCTTCATACCAACTTTGGACTGCACTTGACCACTCATTAGGGTCACTTGACATATAGAGATTCTCACCGCATTTCGTATCTATGAAGGAACAGATCGTGAGGAAAGCAATAAAGCTGCAATGGTAAAAGAAATCAACTATTTGAACACCAGGATCCTTGATATGTCTTCTGTGTTTTTGGAATAGGCTATATGATTCCATGCGTTATAGTTACACAGTCCATACAAAATGCTTGACTGTTACCAAAATTTTTTTAATGAATCAACATAATCAAAATATCATCCTGATTTTAAAAAGGTTCATATTTGTAAAGAAAAAAAATCAGGTACAATTCCACATAATTCAACATATTTTGTGAATACAAAATAAATAATTTCAGAACACCAAATGGCTATACAATATCACAAAAGGACAGTGGATTAGAAATCAGAAAGCCTGGTTAGCTTTCCGATATATCTCACTACATCAGTTTGTGTTCTTGGGTAAGTCATTCCTTCCACATCCTAGTTTATTCGTGAGCAAGTTGGGAGGAACAAATTAGGTACTGCTTGAGATATTATTTGCATAAAAATAATCAATAAGCACAAAATGGCATTTATCATAACTATTTCTCCATATACAGATACTGTGATTTTAAAAAGCCAAATATAAGTAACATTTATTCATAGTCTTAATGTAATACACCAGAAGGATCCATTCTATTTTATTTGTCCACTATTATTTTATTTTTTCATTTATTCAACAAATATTAGTAATTCACATACTGGTTTTTCGTTCCTCTGGATCACTGTGTTGTAAAGTGCACTTGTTTGCCCACTTCTGGGCATTTGCTGTTGCTTCTCTATCCCATTCCTAATTATTATAAGGAAAAAATATATACACTTAAAAGTTCAACTCCAACAAAACATATGCATTGTAATCTGATTGATAAGATTAATTTGCACTACTTCAAAACTTCTGTAGATGTATTATCTATTTGTCATTGTTCTTACAATATCTCTGATGTGTCTTTATCTGCCACAATGCCCATTTCCCACAAAGACAGTCCATAGGTGATGTATCTAACAAGAGCAATGACTATTTATGATCGCACAGCAGCCACACCTGGGATTTTTAGTGATGGTACTATTCTAAATACTGACCACCATGTGATGTATTATAATTATACTAGAGACCTGGTCCATGAAATTAGTGCATGGGGGTTCCTCAGACCGGCCTGCACCCTCTCGCAATCTGGAACCCCTTGGAGGACATTTGACTGCCAGTTTAGGCCCCATCCCGTAGCAGGATGGATCCTAAACCGGCAGTCAGACATCCCTCTCACAATCCGGGACCACTGGCTTCTAACTGCTGGCCTGCTTGCCTACCTGATCACCCCTAACCACTCTCCCTGCCTGCCTCATTGCCCCTAACCACTTGCCTGCCTGCCTGATCACCCCTAACCACTTGCCTGCCTGCCTGATCTCCCCTAACCCCTCTGCCTGCCTGCCTGCCTGATTGCCCCTAACCACCTCTGCCTCAGCCCCCGCCACTACGGCTGCGTCTGGAAGGACATCCGGAATGATGTCCAGAAGGTTGTTCGGCTGTCCAGTCTAATTAGCATATTATGCTTTTATTATTATAGATTTTGATAGTAATAAACTGGTCTAGATCAGTCCCAATTCCATTTGTAGCCCACTGTTATCATATAGGAGATATTTAGTTTTCAGAGACGGCGCCCTGGAAAGGGTGCTATTTACCCTCAATGGCACTGATTCTTAAAGAAAGGGGGTTTATTTTAGACTAGGAAAGAGAGCGAAGAAACAAATGTAACAGCTTCACATTTGATGCCTGATGGTCTGGTTTCTAATTCTGCCTTCCCAAATTTTTAACTCTGTAAACTTGATGAGTTGTTACCATTATAAAGTAAAACTAAGAATTTCTTCCCATAACATAACTCAAATGAAATAGCAAAACAGAGGCAGAATGTTGTAAGCCACAAAGTTCTTCACAGATGCCAACTACCAGCTTGTTCCCACCACGTTCCTTAGATTACTGCTTCTTACCATCCTTAGCATGTTGCTGGCAGATGGAGAGACTGATTTCCTTAATTCATTGTGTTTATTTACAATCTCTTTTTGGATATTTGTTTGAGTGGTTAACAAAGCAGAAAAGGCTGGATCCTAAAGGGAAATAAAATTGGGGTTTTAAAAACATTTTTGAAAAATATTTAACATATAAGAGTAAATAAGTTAATTCAAGGAAGCAAGGACTGCTATGAAAAGTATTCAGTTAAGCGAATATTAGTTGTCAAGCATTGCCAATGAATCTCAGCCAAATCTATGAAAAATAGGAAAGAAGTAACTTGAAGATTTGAGAATGGAAGTGTAATTTGTGGCATGACAAAATTTTAAACATTGTTTAAGGCCACAAATGCCCATTTCTAGTTCTAGGGATTCTTAATATGACATATGAGTGATAGTATTTTATAACCACAAAGGTGCACAATAGGAACCCTAAGACATATTCATTTACATTTGATCAGGCTGCAGCAAAGGGAATAAAGGGGAGGTCAAGGTTCATCCTAGATTTGGAGGGAACTTTGACCTGGCATGGTATCTGTATTTAGAGACAGAATCTATTTAAAATGTATTAGAGAAAGAATATTTAGTCTCAGTTGAAATGCATTAAAAATTCTACATAACTCATTCTACCTATTGTGGTCAGATTTTATGAAATCACTCAAAAGACAATTTTTCAATATTAACAAATCTCCAAGGTAATTTGGAGGAAGCAAAGTCATCCAGTTAATGGACTCTTGCTGATTCTTTCCCTTTATTAACAGAAATATAATTAAGGTATTAAATCAATCACCAATACTTATTGATTTATCTTTGTGTGTGGGTGTGTGGGGGTCTAAGTCGGAAGGGAGAGTAGGGTGTGTGAATTGTTCCATAAAGTTCATGTAATTTAATGACCTAAATCTATGATTATCTAAAATACTATTTCAACATGTATTCAATATAAAAACTATTAATGCGATATTTTCCTCTCCTTTTATACTAAATCTCTTAAATCTGGAATGTATTTTACACTTTGCAGTACAGCTTATTTTAGACAAGCCACATTTCAAGTGTTCAATAGCCACATGTGACTAGCAGTTACTGTACTGGACAGTGCAGCCTTGGACTTTCATCTAGGTAATTGTGCTAAGTGCTCTGAGCAACCAGTGAGTACTTTGTGATGGGCCAGACAACCCCGCTCTTCCCACTCTCAAAGTGCCTTGCCATCCCACAAAGTTGCCTGGATAGGGCTGGAAGAATTTTCCACTCTAACATTACCTTACGTTCTGCAGGTAAAGATGGAAGCAGGACAGCAGCCAGAAACACCACCAGTGAGAGTAAAGCCATTGCTGGGAAGTAAGTCAAAAGAGAACAAAGTAGTTCTGCATTGAAACTAGTAGTACATGAACAAGAGGGGAAAATCAATGTAGTGATCATGGTTATCTCACAGCCACTGTGACTCCCAAATTCGTAATGTAACAAGAGAAGACTGCCATATGGTGCCAGTAGAATAATAGTGGAACTAACATTGTCTCTGGTAGGGACAATCTATATATATATATGAAAGCCTAAGCGACTGTTACGACTGAACAATTGGAATGACCAGTCGGCCAGCCACTATAACGCTCACTGACCACCAGGGGGCAGATGCTCAACACAGGAGCTGCCCAATGGTGGTCAGTGCGTTCTCACAGCCAACTTCCCATAGCCCCTCCCCCCAGCAAGACCCCTCTCTTACGGCCCCTCTCCCGGGCTGGCCCAACCCCCCCTATTGGCCCCTATTGGGAGGTCTGGCCGGCCAGCCCCTCTGGGCCCTTCCCCTCAGCGACCCTCCCCCATAGGCCTTAATCACCGGCCAGGCTGAGAGAACCCACCCATGCACAAATTCGTGCACTGAGCCTCTAGTAAAATATAAACTGACAAACATGACTGATGCCCTTAAAGTATATATAATATATATAAATTTTCACATTTTTACCTTTTTCTATTAAAGATAGTTCTAGTTCAATTGTTTCAAAGTTATAAACATGGGAATTATTTATAGCATCTATTTTAGAATGAAATATAAAGAGTTCATTTAAGTTTCAATTTGATATAGTGAGTAAAATTTACTTGATTCTCTCAATAATAAAAATTTAACCATAAAGTTTTGAAAACCATAGATAGATTAAATATGTCATTTTATCATTGGAAAAATAAAAATGATTGACAACATGTTCACATTACAATGCATGAGTCATCACTTACTATTGGTCCTCAGAGCAGGATGCAGTATCTGCTTTACCTGGTAGAAGAAGGGAGGTGAAGAGAAGGTCAGAGCACCATATGTATTTCACCTACTTGTGTTTCTGCAAATTCTGGTTGCTCCAGTAAATCTAAGTCAATAAATTTTTGAAACAGAATTTTTTACACCAATAGCTTAAAATTTCATTGTCAGTTCTCTGACATTGTTTTTGACATTGATTCCCATGTAGCTTTTAATCTGAGTAAAACATGCCCTTCTTCCCTAACCAGCCTTCTCTTCTTAGGCGCCCTAATATTTGGATGCTGCCCTTTTGGCCTAGTATTTTTATAACCACTCAAGACAAGTTAATCACTTCAAAGGTAATTTCAATCCTACTTTGTGGCTGAACTGCTGTGGCTCAGCTTTCTGTGACATTGACTTCCTAGTTAACAACTTTCTATAGCTTATTGGTTGCAAACATAGTTTTTAAAAACATAAGTGCTGGGAAACCCTCTTGGAAATCCAGTTTTCTCTTCTGTAAAATGTGGATTATCTTATCATCTATTTGCCTTGAAAACTGAAAGGCATAAAATACCTTAAAATAATGCCTGGCATAGAATACTCAGTAAATGGAAATTATTAATATTTTCATTATTATCCTTTATACTGTATGGTAGTTTTCTGGGCTCCTAAGAGCTTCCGTAAATGCATGTTGTTTGATTAAACTTCTAATTTCAAAAGTGTTTCTAATACCTGTATTTATTTATTTTTTTGCATGTATGGGGGATTTTATAGTTTGCATAAATAAAAATCTAAAAATTTAAGGCACAGTGTATAACTATATAAATATTACAAACCGGCCACTGTTGGACAAGTGAAGAAAGTAAAATTCAAGAAACATAAAACCTTCATAGGTCATTATCTTCTACTACAATCAAAACAGTTTCTAGTTTTCTAGGGAGAGAAGATTCAGATCACCTTTAGATATGTATGCCTTCACTGGATAGCCAAATATCTGAGTTGAAGGTACTATCTCAAATGAAGTTAAATACAAATTAGAGGGGAAGCGTCAGGTTAGCATGCTTTAGAGCTACTGGCAAACTATAACTTACTGTGACATTAATTACATAATCTGCTGATTAACCCTTTAAGCACTAAATTATGTAGATTTTACATCCATGACTAAAAAATTACCATCACATGCCATACGTGAACCACCACACCATGAATCCATTAACCAAAGATTCCTAATGAAGAATTATCTTTCATAAGTTCTTCAAATTTCAGTTAAAATACTGAACTTTAGTGGCCAGATGTTCACATTCATTGATTACATAGTTCCATAATAGGTCCACTGTATCTATGTTGTAAGTTTCTTTGTATTTTATATAGATACATTTAAGATTGAAAGGTTAGTGCTATTCACATGGTTATTCACAATCATTCATTTCTAAAAGCTCTTTAAGCTTGTGAATAGGCTTTTAAGAGCAGCATTATCTGAAATAGGCCACACATTCTTCCTTACCCCTATTTAGTTATTAATCGAAGTCATACAGCTCTCTCTTAAGGTTCTGAACACATATTTAGGGATATTTTCAAAATTAGTTTCTTACTCTACTTTTGTAAGTTGGCTAATAACACAGTGGGTAGAGAGATGGCCAACACAGGCCAGATAAACTGTCTACTCTACTGTTGTTACTTTGAAGTGGTGAATGACAAGTACTTTCATTGTGCTGCCACTGCACCTTGTACAATATTTAACAGTGAGCCCCTGAAGGGTTAAGTCTTCATCTGTCCCCCAATCCCACCCTCCTCCCTGAAACTACTTGGCCCATAGGAGACACTCAGGAGTGACATAACCAGGATGCCAGGTGGGTAATCACTGGGTATTACCACTTGAAAACAAATACATTAATAAATTCATTCAGTAACCAGTGTTTTTAACCTTATGTTCAAAGTTAGGTATTTATTTTGAATAACTACTGAAAAGAGAATACAAGATTAAGTAACCTGCATTAACAAAATGGAAACCCATGTTAATATTCAGTATTATAAACTCAATCGCCTTTCCATAAAATAGTTATTTTCAAAGAAAGAAAGTTCAAAGTGCTTTTATCTTGCTCCTTTTATTACATACTCAGTGAACTACCCTTAGTATAAAATCATGACCAGCCTGTACTTAGCTTCCCTCTCTCCTCCCCTGGCCTCGATTTAGCATTTCGTGTACAATCAATAATTTATCCTTTACATCAGCCTGAGATTATTCTTACAGAAAGAAAAATGGTCATTTTTTTATTCCTTTAAACCCACATGCATACATAGTTGAAAGGTTGGCTGCCATTCCCTCCTTCCCCCCACTACTTACTAATAGAAAAGTACTGTGCCCTTTGTTGCAGATGTTTTAAAACCAGGATATCAGGGTTCTGCTGGGGTGTCTACAGGAAGAGCATGGTGTATGGTTCCATAATCCTGAAACAGGGCAAAAGAGGGCATTTAACATAAAGATGTGGAGACTGGGTAGAATCACTCATCTCTAAACTTAAAACTCGACACAACTGTTTAGCATTGTGCTCTAATACTTCGCTGTATTTATTTGGTCTCACCATTAAGACCATACCCTCCTTTTGAGATCAGACTGTTTTGATGTTCTTGTATTTTATTCAAATACTAAAAAGTAAATGTCTGCTCACACACCGACATCCTTGGAATATCACAACATATTTTCAAGATTCACAACTCCTCATCTAGGCCTGTAACCTATATGCTCTTTAGAAGATAAACTCTGTAAGTAGACACCCACATAATGGGCATTTACAACACAGATTTTGGTCACACCTATATTTCTCTTCATGTCATTTCCTGAAAGCCAGGAGATGACATAAAGCCCAGAAGATTCAACAACCACAATTCTACTTGTTTGTGATAATACATAGTTTCTAATAACTGCACTCAAAACATAAGAAGCGAAACTTCTCGAGTTGCTTCGTGGAAGGCCAGATTTAGAAATGACTTTAGGCTTCGGCTATGACTCAGAGCTCACCGTGTGAACAGAATGATTTTTCGTTAAGATAGGCAAAGAGTTTCAATAGGACTCACATAGACACGCACATTGAAAGCCTCTGGCGAATGGGCACTAAGCAACACAGAGAAACACTCTACCCGGTGCACTGATTCAGCCAAGGATGGGTACCAGAGGGACAAAGAGTATTGAGGATCACAAGACCCCTCACATCACAGATCGTCCTCTCCCCTGTCTTTACCCCACCTCCCCCGCCCTGGTCATTTCCAATTTCCCAGCCTGTTCTACTTCTTACCCTGGCTCCTGGGCCCAGATCTTCCTGCTTCAGGGCCAGAGCCAGGGACGGGCTGCAACTGGCCCCTCCTACGGCTGCAGCACCCGTGAAACCGCCGGTCAGCCACGTGGGCGCCACGTCACAGGGCTTTGTGCTGCAGCGCAGTCAGGCTAACCCGGTTCTTCCCCCAACTCCCCCCAGGTCCCTCCAGGGCTGCCCTGGAGAAAATCCTACACATTCTCCCTTGTAAACAGCAGAGATCTGCTTTTCTCTCATTACCATGATGAGGAAGGCACATGTCTGCTCACACACCCGGACAGTACAAAGAGGATGGCGATGTAGCAGGATTTAAAATGCCCCGGGCGTGGCTGAAAAGCAGGTGTCCCTTTACAGACAAGATCCCCTGAGTCAGCGCGGGCCAGAATTTAAAGAACAGACTGGAAAAGTCTATTGATACTTAAGTTTTCAGTGCTATACCAGTGTGATGGGAACAGTGAGCTCAGGGTTACATAGATCAAGTTGGCATTTTTGGGTTTGCTCATAAACACTCTATGTCCGTGTCCTGCTTTATTTTTCCGCACCTGTTTTGTTGTCAGGAAATTCAAAGAGAGTCACAGGAACACAGGACCGAGTCTTAGGAAAATGCCCAGAATTCCTGATCGAAGGCTGCTGGCTTCCAAGTTCAGCAGCTATATGGGGTGTGGTTTGAAGCTGTGTTGCCTCTCTTCACAGAGGACAGATGGTTACTAGATACATTTTCTGCTCTGCTTACTTGTTTTCAACATTTAAAGGAATGAGTTAATATATTACTTAGAGCAGCGGTTCTCAACCTGTGGGTCGCGACCCCTTTGGGGGTCAAAGGACCCTTTCACAGGGGTCGCCTAAGACCATATATAATTACATATTGTTTTTGTGATTAATCACTATGCTTTAATTATGTTCAATTTGTAACAATGAAAATACATCCTGCATCAGATATTTACATGACGGTTCATAACAGTAGCAAAATTACAGTTATGAAGTAGCAACGAAAATAATTTTATGGTTGGGGGTCACCACAACATGAGGAACTGTATTAAAGGGTCGCGGCATTAGGAAGGTTGAGAACCACTGACTTGGAGGATATGTTGGATCTAAAGATGTCAAACCAAAGATTATCACCCATCACCTGCTAGCTCTCTGTGCTCATGAAGAGAGGCTTGAAATTTCTCCCCAACCCTTTGAAACTCACATAGGCTCCCCTGTAACAAGACGGCCTTGTTTCACGGTGCTGAGCGCCACTTTCTCTTTGCAATGTTAAAATTCCAAGTGACGACTGCACAGACATTATTTTCATTCTCCTCTGCTCTTTCAGTTCAATTACAACTGGCTTAAAAGTCCTGGGATTTACAAGTCATCTGATATTGCTTTACTCTTATGGTTACATGAAATCAAAGGTAACTCCTGACAGAGGGTTTCTCTAAGTGTTTATAAATCCATTCCCAGATCTTCCTCACGTCTATATTTTATGTTTTGGACAAATCTTGCTTCGATTATTAATTTAACATTTCGGATACTTAGATTACAGGCGCCTCTCACAGACACCAGAGAGGCATTACTGGACAGCCCCCTGGGTCAGCCCACTTGATTCTTGTCATGCTCGTAGGAATCAATTCAAATGAGTGACTCCAGATAATTGCATTGTGTTAAAACAAATTTATTAAGCAAGTAAACCATGCAAATGGAGTAAAGGGTAAGGCAAGAAATCTATCATCCGGCTGAAAGTGGGGATGGACTCTCTGGGCTAATTTGAGGAGCGAGCGTGGTGGAGCGGGGTGGGGAGGGTGTGCCTTATATACTTTTCTGACTATAGATTTTAAAATTTATCTGCTAGATATCTTGGTACTGGTGAACTCTTTTTAAAAAAATATATTTTATTGATTTTTTACAGAGAGGAAAGGAGAGGGATAGAGAGTTAGAAACATTGATGAGAGAGAAACATCAATTAGCTGCCTCCTGCACACCCCCTACTGGGTATGTGCCTGCAACCAAGGTACATGCCCTTGACCAGAATCAAACCTGGGACCCTTGAGTCCGCAGGCCGACGCTCTAGCTGCTGAGCCAAACCGGGTAGGGCCTGGTTAACTCTTTTACTTTGCCAGTATTTATGAGAAACACCTGGCAATTTTATCTTTACAAGCCCAGGGAATTTGCTGGCTTCACTGTTCATGGAGTGAAATAAACTGCCTCCCCTTTTGTTTTTCCTTTTCCAAAACGACTGACTTCTTTGTTTAGTGAGACAGATTTTTTTTCCTTTATTGATTAAGGTATTACAAATGTGTCCTTTTCCCCCCCATTGTAGTACTCCTTCTTCTTTCCTTCCTCCGTTTGGGGGGAAGAGGCATTAAAAAATCCCCTTCTCCAATAAGCCAGTTGGAGAAAGATAAATATCACATGATCTCACTCATATGTGGGATATAATGATCAACATAATTTGATGAACAAGAATAGATCCAGAGACAAATGGTAGGGGAGAGGGGGTTATAGAACAACTAAAGGACTTGTATGCATGCATATTAACATAACCAATGGACACAGACACTGGGGCGGTGGGGGCTTGCCCAGGGTGGAAATGGCTGGGATGGGGGGTGGGGGTCAATTGGGGAAAAAGGAGACATATGTAAAACTTCAGACAATAAAAAAAATCCCCTTTTCCCCCCCTCCCCTTCCTCCTCTCTTCTGGATTCTTTCAGTTGTGGGGAGGGGTATTTGCTCTCAAGTGTCCTTAGTTGGGGAAGATAATGGCTTGTTATTTACAAGCTAGCTTCAAGCTCCCTAAATTGTTTGGCCTTGTTCAATTTTCTTGGCTTAGTTTCCTATTCCACTTGCTTAAAAATTTTTCTAGCTTCTCACTACCCTGTAACACATAGCCACAAAATTGCTGCTCACTTTTTAGAAATAGAATTATTTGGTACATGTGTTCTTTTTATAGTGCAAAACAATTCATTGTTATCCTATAATATGCTATAATTTACTGTGAATGTCCTATTTTTTATTCTTGGAGGCACCATATCTCCATGATTACTATTTGTCCTCATGGAGAATGTCATAATGAGAGCAATTTGAATATTGTAATAATAGATATTGCCAGGGAAATGTATATAGGGGTGGGCAAAAGTAGGCTTACAGTTGTCCATATGGAAAATAATGTAATAATTAATAAATAATAATAATAATATGAGAACAAACTTTCAAGTACTCATAACTATAAACCTACTTTTGCCCACCCCCTGTATTGGAGAAATTGACTATATCTCTCTTGATTATTGGTATAATTCCAAAGCTTAGCACAATACTAGATAGGTGGCAGTTTGTAAATATTAGTTCAGTGACTTAATATTAGCCTGGCTTAGATTTCTAGAGAATTCAGAGAAAAGGACATGTCATCTCTTTTCTTTAAGGTGTATAGTGCTGTGGGAAAGATAAATACGTACGAACATTACCAGGTAGTGCAGTTTAGTGCTAAAAGTTGAAACAGGAAATATATGCAGCAATTGGAAGTTCTTTCAGTTGCTATTATCTGGGTAAAAACTAGATGGTAGCGTTTCATTTGAACCTCTGAAAATGTATCTGATTTGATCAGGAAGGAAAACAAGTTTTGTATGCTTGGTATGAAGAGCAGAAGCAAACAAATCAGTGTATAATAAAGGCATATGTAGGTCAGAATGTTAGGCTGTAGAAAATGTGGGGGAAGCTTTGTAGAGAAGTCTAAGGAGATTTGCCTTCTTTATATAACATGGGGAAGTAATTTTACTGGTGTTTAGAGAAAAGGGAAATTACACGATCAAATATTATTTCATGAAAGCTACCTGATCGCACTGTGCGGATGATTTGCAGAGCTGAGAGATTGGTGATGGAAAAAATATGAGTGTGGTGACAATTAATTTTAAAGCAGTAGAAATAGAACAAAAGGTTGGGGTGTGAAGAGTTTTTTAAAAAAAGCAGTGTTGCCCTAGCCAGTTTGGCTCAGTGGATAGACTGAAGGGTCCCAGGTTCGATTCCAGCCAAGGGCACATGCCCAGGTTGCTGGCTTGATCGCCAGTCGGGGGGATGCAGGAGGCAGCCAATCAATTATTCTCTCTCATCATTGATGTTTCTATCTCCCTCTCCCTCTTCCTTCCTCTCTGAAATCAATAAAGAAATCAATAAAAATATATATTCATATATATATATATATATATATATATATATATATG